AAACAAAAATAATTCTGTGTAGGTTAGTCACACATATGAATAAGTGACCGATGTCTTGGTGACACTGTTGATCTCTGAGATGCTACTGGCTCTGCTGCTGCTGATCATCCTTGGTTTTTTACTCCTACTAATCTCTGTGGAAGCCAAAGACACAACGCTTTTTTGTGTTGGAACAAAAGTGTAGGCATCTTGGAACTGATGCGTAGCATACCTCTTTGAGCTGTCAAGGTACAATTCCGAAAATGAATTCATGATTACTCTTATTGTGTATTGCAGACTGAGGTTGGCTAATTATAAAAACAACAACAAACAAACAAATGACAAAGAAGCGGTATTTTACCTTGAGTGACACCCTTCTCTTCCTGCAAAGATACTGTAAATAAGTCCTCCAACAATAAGTAAGGTAGAGCCTCCCCAGCCAATGAAGACACCTACTCCTATTTCAAACCTGCCAATAAATACAAGAATATTTCAAGTGCAATTCTCCCTCATAGGAAAAACAATGATCTAAATGTGAGTCATCAAGTACGCAGACTTATCATATATATCTGCTACATACTTCTGTTCCATGTAGTTTGGATCTTCAAACTCAGCTCTTATTTTATTTCCATAGTAGGAGTAAGCAATCATAGAACACATCCCTGAAACAATACTCACACAATTACTTAAATATTAAACAGTGCAATATCTAACAATGTGACTCAGTTCAAACAAATTTCTGTCTTGCCTCCTATAAGGTAGTTCATCCCTCCAGCAAAGGTTACTCTTGCATTAGCAAGCTCGGACCCTCCGATCTTAGTGCACTTCATTCCAACTAAGACCAAAATTGATCCGAAGAAACACAGGATAATACAGATGATGATAAGAGCCCGGCACATGTGAATGTCCCCTGTCCACAAGCAGAAAAAAAGCGGTTAAAGGCACTAAGTTCACTGGGTTTTTATCATTAATTTACGGTATTCTGAGGGACGGTTTGCTTACAGTTCAGTGCCAGCATGGATGGAATTCCCTTGCAGTCAGATACTCCAGTTGAATCAGATATGCAGTCCTTCCACAAGTTCGAGTAGTAGTTTGATGTCGCCAGGACCACGTTGCTGACTTCAGACCAGGTCCAGATATCTGTTGGCATTGTGGAGCAGACCAGAATCCATCCACACACACATACTACAAAGCAGCCTATCTCCATGTACATCACCATAGTCCTATAACCCATTATTGCTTCAGATTTCAGCACCAAGACAGACTACTAACAAATCTAAGCTCCTTAACACAAACCACAGTGCATTTTTTCCAGAACCGTCTTCTTTGAACTCCCTTCTCACGTGCTGAATAGAGGAGGGCATGCAGTGGCACCGCCCCCCTGAAGAAGTCACTTAGATACGTGACAAAACATTTCTCTATTTGAAACGCTACTTGAGAAGGAACAGTATAAATAATAAATAAATAATAAGCCTTCTAGGTAGGATTTCATTACCTGAATTATTAGTGATGCACCAATGAATCCATACTATTTACATACTTAACCTTTTAATGTTAATACACATCTACTCATATATAAGCATATATTATTAACAAAACTTACCAGCAGTATAAAGTTCACTAAAATCATCTCCAGCTGCAAAATACAAGTAATATACACATTAAGTAATTAACAGCTATGATTAATAATGTAATTTATACATTCATTTTTTAAATTATATTTTGAAGTCAAATAGCTTGCAGGATGATGCTGTTGTTTATATAGTCAAAGAAGAAGGAGTCAAAATACAAGTTTTCTCATTCAGAGAACATTTATTTAAGCCATTCAAAATAAAGTTTAAAATCTTGTACAGTGCCACTTTTCATCTGTTGACCTCTGTATAAATACACAGGTTTATCTATCGTTCATCTGTTTTTTGTTTTTTTAATTCTCCAAGTCCCCTTTATACACACTTAAACACAGACACACAACTACAAGAGAACACCATAACATGTTATGCCTCAGACTGCACCTGTTTGTTTTGGAAAGATCATTTCCATCAGCGTGGCTGTTGTTGATACTCAGTCTCCCGACGAGAATAGTTTTAGTTTTGTGCACCATTGAGTTGTTACTTTACACATAAAACAAGGAGAAGACTCATTTCTTTGGATGAAATGCATAATAATTGCACTAATATCTTTATAAAGGTGTGATTTTGCCAATAAAATATTGGACATCTTTATGGAAGGTTTAAACTGAGCAGTGTGGTGGTGATCAAAGTGATATTGATATATTAATTGATATATACATCTGTTCATCGCCATAGGTGTTTCAGTGAGATTCTTAATGACAGAAAATGCTTTTGGTTAAATCACAGCAATTATAACATAAGTGTAAACACAAGACTATGACAACCACTGGTACAAACACAAGACTAAGACTGCACATCTGTTTTATTCACGAGGTGAATATGACTGAGTATGAAGCGATCTAAAGGAAACAAAACATGACAAAAAATTACTTTCCTCCTATCTACAAGTTGAACTATTGCAGTGTCTGTTTGAGTTAAAACAGACCAACTAGACAAATGCATCTCTGTCTGAGGGTTTCGTTGGTGTTGCCTGAAGCTTTGAAAGTTGGGCGCTTGATCGTCCTGAGCCCATATAGTTAGACCCATACAGCTTGGAGGGTTTGTAGTATCCGGAATAAATGGTTCTTCCTCTGGATGGAGGCGCCATGTACGTGTGAGCATCACAGGCTTGTACTACTCTGCTGTAAAATTCAAAACATTGATGATGTTAATTATATGATGTAGTGGTAGTAGAGACAAGAAAAGGGATTAAAGTGGAATAATTTAGGTACCTTTTTCTGCGGATTACTTTATACACTGTCACAGCATAAAGAACAGCCCCGACTAGGATGAAAAAGCCTCCTGCCAATCCTAGAAAAACTGGAGATCCTAATTCATATCTGGAAGAAGTGAAAGAACAAGGAGAAAATCATGCTATCATTTAAATAATATAAGTTACTGCAAAATTTATAGCAGATATGTCTGTAATTTGAAAAGATTTTATGTAAAATGGTGTATGGAGTGGAAAAAGCAGTACCGCAAAACTCCTGATGCGACCTTTCGAGCAAAAGCTGTCCTGGCAATTCTGTTGATGTATAAGCAGTAGGCAGCAATGTCTGACATACCTGCGTGAAGAGGTTTCGGTGAACAGAGGAAAAAAAATGATGGCAAAACATTTACAGAGAGAAGCACGGCGTATGTTCAAAGCTTACCACCAACAAAATGAAGCACTGCTCCCGCAAAGAGCACTTTGTCCTTGGTTTTGTCGGATCCGCCGATGTAAGTGCACTCCATCCCGACAAAGCAGCACACTACAGCAAAGAATCCAATAGTTAACCCGCACATTAGCAATCCTCTCACTGCCTGCACGTAATCTGTTCAAATCAAAAAGAGTTCAGAAAGGAGAAAATGAGAAAAAATAATAAACAACAAGGGGTTGATATGAGAACCAAATCAGACCAGTATAAATAAAACAGCTATAAAAACAGCTGTGCAGTGCAGAGATTGTGATCTGCAATGGTTTCTGCAATGTTTTCTCAGATTGCAAAGATTCAATCAGCAGATGCTTGGCGATGCTTGGATGACATAATGCTGCACCAAGTCTTTTTATTTCATTGAATCTGGGAGTCAATAAAAATATGAATAAATCCCTCTTTTGGATATGGTTGAAGAATATTGTACAAAAGATGATCTCTTTTAAGTATTCTTTAGCAGTCTTCATAAAGTCCAGAATATTTGAAGATTGAATTTATAGACGCAATAAGAATATTTTTAAACCCATCAGGGTACATTATATAATTTGTTGAATCCATCCAACCATCCATTTTCTTCTGCCTATCTGATACATGGTCATGGGGAGACCATGACCTTCAATCAACTGACTTAAGGAATATGGAAACACCTTAATTTGGGTGTACGTAAAAGATTAAAAAGTTTTGGTGCTCAGTGTTAAAATATAGTGTTAAGTCTTAAGGTCTGTATTTTAGGCATTTATCCAGATGACTGTAATTTCGCTCATACAGAGAGGAAGATGGTTGACCTTTACTTACTCCAGGCCAAACGGTGTAGTGCAGTATGCCAATGGTTAAACAATGTAACATCAAGTTTAATTCTTGAGAAACTGACCTGTGTATTTAGGAAAAGATCTTCAGAATTTTTTGGCATTTGGAAGCTGTTTCTGGAGCTATTAAAAAATGGGGAAGTTGAGAAGGTGGAGAGAGTAAGGTAATGGAAAATATGTAACTAAATTTGGGAATGTATACCGTAACCTGATCTGTTTTTATTTTGTATTTTGTTCTTGGTTGTTGTTATATTTGTTTGTTGGTCTGTTCTTTGTTTCAGTTTGGT